AAATTAAAAAGGTCTAATTAAAATCGAATGACATCCTTATTCATGGATTGGAAGACTTAGCATGCTAATACTTCCTAAACCAATCTACATATTCAGTGCAACCTTTATTATAAAATCCCAGCTGGCTTCTTGGCAGAAATTAATAATCTCATCCTGAAATTCATATGGAAATGCCAGAGATGGGGAATATCCAAAACAAGGTTGAAAAAGGACAGAGTTGGAGTCAGACACACACTTCTGATTTTAAGTTTTCCTGCAAAGATACAGTAATGAATAGAATGTGATGTTTGCATAAAGGTAGATATACAGATCAAGGGAATAGAATTGAGAATCTAGAAATGAACCCTCACAGTGCATCCAAGGCCTACACATAAGAGGTAAAAAGTACAAAACTCTTTGAAAAAAACATACAAGTAAATTGTGCCATTGGATTTGGTAATGTTTTCTTAAATATGACACAGAAAGCACAAGAAATCAAAGAAAAAGATAAATTGAGCTTTATCAAAATTTAAAACTTAACTGATTAAAAAATGGGTAAAAGACCTGAATAGACATTTTTTTTAAAGATTTATTTATTTTAGAGAGAGCGCATGCACGCGGCGGGGGGAGGGGAAGAGGGAGAGAGAGAATTTCAAGCAGCCTCCCTGCTGAGCATGGAACCCGATGCAGGGCTTGGTCCTATGACCCTGAGATCATGACCTGAGCTGAAATCAGGAGTCGGGTGCTCAACCGACTGAGCCACCCAGCACCCCATGAATAGACATTTTTCCAAAGAAGACATATACATGGCCAATAGGTATATGAAAAAAATCAGTATCACTGATAATCCGAGAAGTACAGATCAAAACAAAACTGTGAGATCTTACCTTACACCTAATAGATCTCAAGTATTCTTACCCCCACACAATGGAAAAAAAAAAGGGTGGATATGTTAAAATTAGCTTGGTTTTGGTAGTCATTTCACAATGCATGCATATATTAAGACATCACATTGTACACCTTAGATATATTCAATTTTGTCAGTCATTTTAGTAATGGGGGGATGTGGGAATAACATGTGAGAAAACATGGAATTGGGAAAAGAGCAGTGCATTTTAATTGTTTACAAAAGGTTTGGATGGCTGGAGTACCAGATGTGAACAGAAATGGGCAGAGAGGAAAAAGCAGGGTTGAAGCGTGGTGATCTTTGGGGTCCTTGCCAACCAGTTTGACTTCTATACCTCTGCAGCTCTAGCCCCTTACAGTGCCTTGATAAAAACACATGTCCAGTAAATGTTGATTGTCGTTGAGACCAAACCAGAAGACAGACAAACCTCCACTGTTGAGAAAATTCTAACTAATAAAAAATGAAATCTAAGACACTTTTTTTTTAACTTTTATGCTTCAGAGGATACTATCATGAAAGTCAAAAGACAACCCTACTGAAATTGAGAAAATATTTTTCAAATCGTATATCTGATAAGGGACTTCCATCTGAAATATTTTTTTAAAAAGCCTTACAACTCAGTAATAAAAAGAAAGCCTAATTAAAAATGCACTATGGATCTGATTAGACATTTCTCTGAAAATCATATACAAATGGTCAATTAGCACATGAAATTATGTTCAACATTACTAATTTGGGAAATGCAAATCAAAACCATGTTGATACATCACATCCTACCCAACTAGGATGGCTAAGATAAAAAAACAAAACAAAACAGATAATTGTGGTCAAAATGTGAATGAAGAAATTGAAACTCATACACTGCTGGTGAAAATGTAAAAAATGTAGAAAATGTAAAACCATGTAGCACCTTTAGAAAATAGTCTAACACTTCCAATTTACTATGTGAGTCAGCAGTTCCACTTCTAGGTACATGCAGGAGAAATGAAGGCATATATGCACACAGAAATTTGTACATATGAATGTTCATAGCAGCAGATTCATAATAGCCAAATAGTGGAAACACCCCAAATGTCCATCAATGGACAAATGGATAAATAAAATGGTCTGTGTATATAGTGGAATATTATTTGGTGGTAAAAAGGAATGATGTATTTGATGCATGCTACAGCATGAATGAACTTTGAAAATATTGAAAGTGAATGAAACAAGTCACAAAAGGCCACATATTGTATGATTCCATTTATATGAAAAATCCAGAAAACCTATATAGAGAAGAGAAGGCAGATCAGTGGTTGCCTCAGGCTGGCGTAGTTGGGGCAAAATATTGAGGCGACTGCCAATGTTAGGGGTTTTAGGGAGTAGGTGATGAAAATGTTCTGATTGTGGTGATGATTTCACAACTGTGTGAATATACTAAAAATCATGTAATTGTACACTTTAAATAGGTGAATTTTATGGTGTGTGAATTATAAAATTATTAACAAAAAATTCACCACCACCACCACAACAGAAACAGAAAATATAACCAGCCCTTCTTGGTTCTCTTGGTCTTAGTGTCTTCTAAGTCTCTTTAAACTTAGGATACTTCACTTCCTCCACCATCCTCCTTGCCTCCCATTTTTTATGCTAATAACTTGTTGAAGAGTCAAGCTCAGTTGAGTATCTCACATTCTTTTTTTTTTTAAGATTTTTTATTTGACAGAGAGTACAAGCAGGGGGAGCGGCAGGCAGAGGGAGAGGGAGAAGAAGGCTCCCCACTCAGCAGGGAGCCCAATGTGGGGCTCGATCCCAGGACCCTGGGATCATGACCTGAGCCGGAGGCAGACACTTAACCGTCTGAGCCACCCAGGTGCCCCAAATATACTTTAATTTTTCTGCATGCTTCCTTTTAGTGTTATGTAACTTGTATGACAGAATTCTCCTCCTCCCTCTTCTCCTTCTCCTCCTCCCCCTCCCCATCCCCCTCCTTCTCCTCTCCCAAGACCCTGGGATCATGACCTGAGCTGAAGGCAGATGCTTAACAGACTGAGCCACCCCAATGCCCTCTTCACCAGTTTTGAACCTCATATTAAAATACAGGGTGAGAGGGATTAAGTATATAACATTTTACTGGAATTATGGCCTTGAGAGTAGGTAGTTACTAAATTCCACTCACCCACGAAAGTACAGTTTAGACATTTTTCAACTTGAGGTGTCTGTAATTTTTCCATTTTGCTTGAAATTTCATTCCAGAAAATGATAAGTAAGTAGCAGGAAACCAGTGAAGACCTTTAAGGAGAAAATAGCATCAGGATTATGCTTTAAAAGGATCCTGTTGGCTGCTACATGGAAATAGGTTTGAAGGTGCCAGAGCAGATGCTGAACAGTTAAGAAACTCTTAAGTAGTTCAGGTGAAATAAGATAGTAATTTGTGTTAGAATCGTGGTTAAGGAATTAGAAGTAGACTGTTGAGGTAAAATAGATGAGACTTGGTAATGGATCTAGTATATAAGTTGTTGTGCCCAGTTTGCCTCCCAGATTTTTGACTTTTGTAACTGGATGAATGTAAGTAGCATTCACTCGAAATAAGAAATACTGGAGTAGATCTGGGTTTGAGCCTCCTTAATCTGATAAATTCTAGACAAGCTGAGTTTGAGATACCAAAATGGATGTGTCTGTTAGGTTTTGATATAAGGGACCAGAGCTCAGCAGAGAGAGATTAAGAGATATGTAGAGATATGCGTAGAGAGATGTAAATATGGGAGTCATTAGTCTGTATGGGCTAATACTGAATTTGAGGAATCCCAACATTTAATAACCCGGTGAGTGACAGTGAACCAACCAGAGACTGATAGTGATTAGAGAAGTAGAAGGAAAACTAGGAGAAATTGGTGTCACAGAAGCCAATCAGTATTTCAAAGGAGGAAGTGGTCAGTAGTCCCTAGATGGTTCTATGAAAGGTCAAATATGTCCTTCCAAACTCGTATGTTTATTTCCATACCTATTGATCACATCTGTGATCTAATTACATAGATTTTGTATCCTAACTTTTATTGTTTTTACTTAATTTATCAATATTTTTCTTGTTCATAATCTTTAGTTCCCTAAGTGGATATATACTTGACTTAATCATTTCCCTATTGCTAGGTAATTAAGTTACCTCTGCATTTTTGTTCTTGCAAAGAGTGTAACAATAAATAGTTTTGTACATGTGCTTTTGGAGGGGTGTATTTTAGGTGTTTTTCTTAGGCTAATATACTAGAAGTAGTATTATTCCATCAAAGGCTTAGAATATCTTTATGGTCTTGAAATCTTCTAGCAAAATGATATACTTTTGAAGCAGTGTTCATAGACATCTTTTTTAAACAGTTGATTATTTTTACAAATTGACTTTAATTAAGATATTTATGCAAGACAGACATATTAGGAGGAAAATATTACCTTAATTGCTAAAATTTTACTATTAATATTTTTATTTTTATTTTTTATTCATTTTAGACAGAGTGCAAGTGCACCTACCTTTGTGAGCGGGGGTGAGGGTGGGGGTAGGGGCAGAGGGAGAGGAAGAGAGAATCTCAAGCAGACTTTGAGTTGAGGGCAGAGTCCCACATGGGGCTCAATCTCACGACCCTGACATCATAACCTGAACCAAAACCAAGAATCAGACGCTTAACTGACTGAGCTACCTAGGTGCCCCTACTGTTAATATTTTTAATAAACATTCTTTCGTATATCTCTTTTTCAATATAAATTCATATAGATATTTTATATAAATGGGATCTGATTACACTTGCTCTTTGGTAACCTGCTTTTATCGTCTAAATACAGATTCTGTTATTTTTAATGGTTATATATGTATTGTAAATTTATTTAACCATTTGAAGTCCAGAGAATATGTTCATACAGGTTCATCTCCTTAAAATCTTAGATGTGCTACTGCTGGGTTAAAGGATATATGTATTTAAAATTTCAAATACATATTTCTGTACTGTGTTGCATATGGTTTCAAAGTGAGGATTTTTGTTACAGAACTTTTTTCTTTTGAAAAAAGAAATTTTGGGGAAATTGTGGTAATTGAGTTTTGCCGTCTAACATTACTGTACATTTATAACTTCCATCATTTTATCTTTAGCTTTTGCCGGTGATGACAGAGCAGCTGCAGTGGATGCCATTTGTGAATACAAAACTTCATGAGCCTTTTGTAAAATTTATATATTGGTCTCTAAGACAGCTAGATGCCGGAACACAGGTAATTGATTAATAGGAGTCTGTGTTTAAGTGATACTCTGTTTAGTATTATTTCTCTTGATCTTGTTTTTTACAGGTTTTTTTTCTTTGTTCTGTTTATATTTCAGGACTTCCTGCCTTCTTTGCTTTATTCACTACTTTCTCCTTTTATAAATATTATTTCTCAGTGCCCTAGGTTTGATTTAACATGTAACATTGTTTTTTGAGTTTCAAAATTGTAAAAGTATCACTCTGTTAGGTTATTGTTAAAACCACTGTCCCTCCCCTTATTTAACTTACAATTTTTCATATTTTACTGAAGGTAATAGAAATTAAAGATTTCTTGTGTTAATGCCAGTAAATGTACGCTAGGTAAATTGGACAGTGATTTTTACAATAGCCTAATCAAAGCAGAAAAATTATTCCAGCATCTTATAAAATGAACCATACATGCTACCTATTCCTATAAGGTTCATTCAATTTAAATTTAATGTCATGCATATGTAATCATTTGTGCTATGAGCTGTAGTAGTTTTGTAAAATTTTATTTCCTTAGTTAGTATTGATAAATGCTGGTATAGCTTTCATTTACTTAACTGAGAGAAACAAATTTGTGCTTGGGTAGTGTAATCTTGGTCCTGTGGAATTTGGGAAGCACACAGCTAAACCACTTAGAGCAGTACTGATGATTAAGTAGTATTAATTGAGTCATGTGATTAAGTAGTATTAATTGAGTCATGTGATTATTTAGTGTGATGGTTAAGGTTAAGGAAAAATTTCTTTCCTTAGGTTGTATCTGAAATATTTTGCTTCTGTGGTGCATAAGTAAGCACATGAGCATGTATGCACACATGTGCATGTGCCCCCCGAATATAATTTTTAATTTACTGGTCCTAACTACGTGTTTCACTAAACAAAGTTATATGGATTATTAGGTCTTGTAATGTTGCTATCTTCTTTTTACAATTTGATTTTGCTGTTTGTATTATGGTTTCTGAAAATGGTTGGCTGAATGCTTGCTCTCAGCCACAAAAGGCTAGGCTCAGAAATTGAGAGAAATTTTTTTTTATCTTCCTCCCAACTATTCTTATCATTTTCCTTTAGATAATTTATCATTTATTTTTGTCTATAAGTATATACTCTGTACCCTACTTTGTGTGCTATTCTAGACAGTACTGCCAGCCTGCATCTGCGTTTCTACTGAAAAGTAGCATTCTTGCCACTGTCCCATTTGTTTATGCAACATTTATAGATGGATTTCTAGTATTTTAGTTTTAATACTTGTCTGATTGCATGTACTTTTTAAAATTAAGCTTTTTATTTTGAGATAATTGTAGATTGGCTTGCAGTAATAAGAACTAATACAGAGAAATCACTTGTGTCCCTAACCCACTTTCCCCCAGTGGTAACATCTTACAAAACTAGTACAATATCACAACCACAATATTGACATTGATATAATCAAAATAACAACAGTTTAATCACCAGATTCCTCATGTTGTTTTTTTTATGTATACAGACTTTTATTTTTTAGAGCAAATTTAGGTTCACAACAAAATTGAACACAGATTTCCCATATACTCCTTGATCCCACATATATACTGCCTCCCACATATCAGCTTCTTGCACCAGAATTTGTTGTAAATTGTTACAGTTTGTTACAATTGGTGAACCTACGTTGATATGTCATTTCACTCCAAGTCCATAGTTGACATACATTAGGATTCACTCTTGGTGTTTTACATTCTCTTGAGTTTTGACAAAAATATAATGGTGTGTAACTGCCAAATATAGTATCATATGGAATAATTTGTTACTAAAAATAATTTGCCCTAAAAATCCTCTTTGCCTGCCTAGTCATGCTTCCCTCACCCCTAACTCCTGCAAACCACTAATCCTTTTACTCTTTGCCTTTTATATAATATGATAGCTTTTCCTTTTACAGAGTATCATATAGCTTAGAATTAGCCTTTTCAGATTGGCTTCTTTCACTTAGCAATATGCATTTAAGATTCCTCCATGTCTTTTCATGGTTTGATAGCTCATTTCTTTTCAGTGCTGAATAATATTCCATCATCTAGATGTACCACAGTTTATCCATTTACCTACTGAAGGACATCTTGATTGCTTCCAAGTTTTGGCAAGTATGAATAAAGATGGTATAAATATCCATGTGCAGGTTTTTGTATGGACATTAGTTTTCAGCTCCTTTGGGTAAATACCTAGGAGCACAATTGTTGGTAAGAGTACGTTTAGTTCTTTGAAAAACTATAAGCTGCCTTCCAAAGTGGCTACACCATTTTACATTTCCAGCAGCAGTGAATGAGAATTTCTGTTGCTCCACATCCTCATCAACATTTGGTGTTGTCAGTGTTTTGTGTTTTGGCTATTCTAATTGGTGTATAGTCAAATCTGGTTGTTTAAATTTGTAATTCCCTAATGACATACTGTTGAGCATCTTTTCATATGCCTGTTTGCCATCTGTATATTTTCTTTGGTGAGGTTTCCAGGTTCTTTGCCCATTTTTTAATTGGGTTGTTTTTAGAATTCTTTCTCTATTTTGGATCACAGTTCTTTATCAAATGTGTCTTTGTAAATATTTTCTCCCAATCTGTGGCTTGTTTCTCATTCCTTTGACAGAGTAGTTTTTAATTTTAATGAAGTCCAGCTTCTCAGTTATTTTTTGTGGATCATGCCTTTGGTGCTATATCCAAAAATTATTTACTGTATCCAAGGTATTGTATATTCTTAGAGAATTGACTATCATTATGTAGTGCCCTCCTTCCCTGGTAACTTTCCTTGCTCTGAAGTCTGTTTTGTCTGAGATTAATAAAGTTATTCTGGCTTTCTTTTGATTAGTGTTAACATAGTATATCTTTCTATCTAATTACTTTTATTCTGTATTTGTTTTTATATTTAAAGTGGGTTTCTGTGGCGCCTGGGTGGCTCAGTCTTTGGGCATCTGCCTTGGGCTCAGGTCATGATCCCAGAATCCCAGGATTGAGCCCTGGATTAGGCTCTCTGCTCAGTGGGAAGCCTGCTTCTCCCTCTCCCACTCCCCCTGCTTGTATTCCCTCTCTCACTCTCTCTCTCTGTCAAGTAAATAAATAAAATCTTAAAAAAAAAAAAAAGTGGGTTTCTATCCATTTACTTTTAATCTGTATTTGTCTTTATATTTAAAGTGGGTTTCTTATAGACAGTGTATAGTGGGTCTTTTATTTTGATTCACTCTAACAGTCTCTTTTAATTGGTGTATTTTGACTATTGATGTTGAAAGTGATTATTGATATTGTTTGATTAATATCTACCATAGTTTTTACTATTTTTTATTCATTGACAGTTGTTCTTTGTTCCTGTTTTGTTCTTTTTCTGCCTTTTGTGGTTTTAGTTGGACATGTTATATGCTTCTACTTTCCCTTCTTTCTTAGCATATCAGTTGTACTTCTTTTTTAATTTTTTTAGTGGTTGCCCTACTGTTTGCAATATGAATTCACAACTAATCTAAATCCATTTTCAAATTACACTATACAGCTTTACGTGTAGTGTGAGTATCTTATAATACAGTACACCCACCTTATCTGTGGTTTCACTTTCTGTGGTTTCAGTTACCCACGGTTAACCACAGGCTGGAAGCAGATGACCCTCCTTCTGAAGTACTGTCAGAAGGTCATTATTAGCCTAACGCTAAGTAAGGTCACAATGCCTGTTTCATTTCACTTCATCTCATCCTGTAGACATTTTACCATGTTACGTCATCATAAGAGGATGAGTACAGTACAATAAGATATTTTGAGAGAGAGAGACACCACATTCACATAACTTTTATTATATTGTTATCTATTTTATTATCAGTTATTGTTGTTAATCTCTTTGAGATTAATCTCTTACTATGCCTAACTTATAAATTAAACTTTATCATAGGTATGTATGTATAGGAAAAGACATAGTATATAAAGTTTGGTACTGTCCATTGTTTCAGGTATCCCCCCTGGGGGTCTTGGAACACATGCCCCCCAGATAAGCGGGGACTACTGTAACAAAATACTGCTGATTTCTTCCTCCTGTCCTGTATTCCCTTGTATCATTCCTGTCATTCATTTCACTTACACATAAGCATACATAAGCATGCATATGTACACACACGCACATGCACACACACAGGCATTCATAATCAAACACACTGTTGCTATTGTTTTCAACAAACTTATCTGTTAGATCAGTTAATAAAAGATAAAAGTCTTTATGTACACTTATTCCTTCTCTAATGCTCTTTCTTTATGTACATCCAGGTTTCCCAGCTATATGATTTTCCTTCTCTCTAAAGAACTTTTATTAATATTACTTTCAGGGCTGCTCTACTGGTAACAGATTCCTTCAATTTTTGTTGATCTGAGAAAATATTTATTTTTGATGGATAATTTCACAGTATATAGAATTGTAGGTGGTTGGAGTTTTTTTCTCAACATTTTAAATATTTCATTCTATTTTCTTTGTGCCTACATGGTTTTTGAGGAGAAATTGGATATAATTCTTATCTTTGCTTCTCTATGAATAAGCTGTTTATTCCTCTGGCTTCTATCAAGATTTTTTTTTTAAGTTTTTATTTTCTGCAGTTTGAATATGATATGCTTTGGTGTAGGTTTTTTGGGGGGTTGGTATTTATCCTTCTTGGTGTTCTCTGAGCTTCCTGGTTTTGTTTCCTATGTTAATTTGGAGGAAACTCTGTCATTACTGTTTCAAATATTTCTTTTATTTCTTTTCTTTTCCTTCTGGTATTTCTGTTACCTGTATTACACCTTTTATAATTGTCCCATAATTTTTGGATATTCTGTTCCATTTTATCCAGTCTGTGTTTTTCTCTTTGTATTCCAGTTTTTGAAGTTTCTAATGATGTACCTTTAGACTTAGAGATTATTTCTTCATCCCTGTCTAGTCTACTAATGGGCCCACCAAAGACATTCTTCATTCACAGTGTTTCTGATCTCTAGTATTTCTTTTTGATTATTTCTTAGAATTTCCATC